AAGACAGACGGAAAGTAACATGTTGGGCGGAAGTCAAGAAGACCACTAAAAAAGAAAACAGTGTCTTCAGGCGGTCAGGAGGACGACAGAGAGAATGAAGGGCGGAAAGACGGCACAACGGAGTGCGGCGCAAGGACGAGAGGCGGGAGGCTGCAAAAAGAAGCGGCAGCGGCGGAGGCGGCGCAGGCGGCGGAGGCAGCGGAGGCGGCGCGGGCGGAGGCGGCGGCGGCGCGGGCGGAGGCGGAGGCGGCAAAAGAAACGGCGGCGGCGGATGCGACGCGGGCGGCGGAGGCGGCGGCGGAGGCGAAGGCGGAGGCGGCGCGGGCGGAGGCGGAGGCGGCAAAAGAAACGGCGGCGGCGGAGGCGGCGCGGGCGGCGGAGGCGGCGGAGGCGGCGGAGGCGGCGCGAGTGGAGGCGGAGGCGGCGACGGAGGCGACGGAGGCGGCGCGAGTGGAGGCGGAGGCGGCGACGGAGGCGGCGGAGGCTGCGCGAGTGGAGGCGGAGGCGGCGGCGGAGGCGGCGCGGGCGGAGGCGGAGGCGGCGAAAGAAAAGGCGGCGGCGGAGGCGGCGCGGGCGGCGGAGGCGACGGAGGCGGCGCGGGCGGAGGCGGCGGCGGCAAACGAAAAGGCGGCGGCGGAGGCGGAGGCGGCGGCGCGGGCGTTAGAGCTGCAGGCGCAGGTGGAGGCGGTACTAGCGGCGACCACGGAGGAGCTGTCGGTGGAGAGGAAGGTGCGCGCTTGCTCAGAGGCGGTCTTGGCGGAGGCGCACGCCGACGTGCAAGAGGAGGAGCGCCTCCGCCGGGAGGAGGAGAGCAAGAGGGCGTTCGAGCGGCGGACGAATATGGCGCTGCGATCTGCGAATGAGGAGCTGCGCGGCAAGGCGTGGGCCTCGCCCGTGCCGCACGCCTGGGCGGACATGTGCAAGATGCTTCACGGGCATGCCCCGTTTCCGTATCGCAGGTGGAATCGCTCGGGGCGATGGTCGAGTCGCTGAACACTCTTGTGGCCGGCCTGTCCAAGACCAGCCGGAACACCAAGCTGTCGCAGCGCGGCCCGGGGATGTAGTTAGACTAGTTTGGTGACGCGTGAAGCGCCAAGTCGAAAAGCTGTGAGTATGAGGGAGGCGACGAGGGAGGGGAGCCAGCTCTGGCCGTGGCGCTTGAGCCCTAAATCCCTTCTCTTCTCCGACCCCGGTATTTCTTTTCTTGATCGGCGCCTCCGGAGAGTCACTTGCGTTTTCTGCAAAATATGCTTATGGCGCAGCGGGTCGCAGGTTGTGGATCTGGTCGGCTGAACGCGTCTTTTGCGTTTTGGCGAGCACGGTCAACGTACACGTTCTTTCTACATGGCGGAGGTGACAGGAGCCGTGTTTGTTTAGGTGGGATCGGTTCGCCGGGTTTCTTTTCTCGGACGGTGTACCCTGTGAGCTGTGTTAGTGCCAGTGCGCGCCAGTCCCGTGCCCAGTGTAAAGAAAGAAAAAACCACACACCAAGAGAGGGATGGCATGGCGCATGCCGGATGGGCCTAGTGCCTAGTAAAGATAGCAAAGAAAGAAAGAAATAAAGGAGACAACCCAAGGTGGGATGGGAGCCTTGTGCCTAGTAAAAGAATGTAAACAACACAAGTCAGTAAAAGAAAGAAAACACGCCGCACGAGGGATGGGAGGAGGACAAGGTGACCCCACCTGCACGAGCAGGATTTTGGAAGGGCGATCAGGGACACAGGGGAACGGGAGGGGGGAGCGCGTAGTGTCATGTGTTGTCAAAATTCTTTCTCACAGACGCCGTGGTTGGCGGTGGTCAACGGCGTGCGACAAAGCAAAATGGTCGAATACATCGGCACCGCTTCAGAGATCCTCCTCCACGCGGAGGCGAAGCAGGCGGCGGCGGCGAGGCGGCTGCGGGAGGCCCGTGACGCGCGCCACGATGCAGAGCTGGAAGCTGGTCAGGCGAAAAAGGACGCTGCACGCAAGGCGGCGTCGATGGAGTACTTCTCGCGAGCGTCGATGGAGCTCGACACATCGTCCGCGGCCGCAACTGTGAAGCGGGCAAAAGATGCGGAGGCAGCGGCTACAGCGGCGAGGGCAAACGAGGAGGCGGCCCGGGCGTTTCTAGCAGAGGCGGAGGTGGAAGCAGCGGAGGCAGTGGAGACCCACGGCTATGCCTTCAGCGTAGCGGCAGAGGCGCGAGCCAGAGCCTCCGAGGAGATAGAGGCGGTGCGCATGGCGCTTGAGGCGGCGCACGCCAAGGCTCTCGACCAGGCGAAGGCGGAGGGCGCCAAGAAATGCGCGGAGCTCGAGGCGTCATTAGCGACGGCAGAGGCGGCACGAGCGGCAGCGGAGACAGCGGCGCAGGCGGCGGCGAAGGAGTCTGTGGCGCAAGCAAAGGAGACGGCGAGGGCGCGCGCTGCCGAGCTCGATGGGGCGATGAGGGAGTCGGCGCAGCTCTCACAGCTGCTGGCGGAGGAGAGGGCGGCGCGGGCGACGGCAGAGGCGGCTAGCGAGGCGGCGGCTGCATCATGCACCGAGGCAACAGCGGCGCGGGCGGAGGCGTCGGCAGCGGCGGAGGTGGCGCGGGTAAGGGCGGAGGCGGCGACGGAGGCGGCGCGGGCGGATGTGGAGGCGGCAAACGAAAAGGCGGCAGCGGCGGGTGCTGCGCGAGTGAAGGCGGAGGCTGCGACGGAGGCGGCGCGGAGGGAGGCGGAGGCGGCGAAAGAAAAGGCGGCGGCGGCAGAGGCGGCGCGAGTGGAGGCGGAGGCGGCGACGGAGGCGGCGCGGACGGATGCGGTGGCGGCGAAAGAAAGGGCAGCAGCGGCGACGGAGGCGGCGCGAGTGGAGGCGGAGGCAGCAAAAGAAAAGGCGGCGGCGGCAGAGGCGGCGCGAGTGGAGGCGGAGGCGGCGACGGAGGCGGCGCGGACGGATGCGGAGGCGGCAAAAGAAAAGGCGGCGGCGGCAGAGGCGGCGCGAGTGGAGGCGGAGGCGGCGACGGAGGCGGCGCGGACGGAGGCGGAGGCGGCAAAGGAAACGGCGGCGGCGGCAGAGGCGGCGCGAGTGGTCGCGGAGGCGGCGACGGAGGCGGCGCGAGTGGAGGCGGAGGCGGCGACGGAGGCGGCGCGGACGGAGGCGGAGGCGGCGAAAGAAAAGGCAGCAGCGGCGACGGAGGCGGCGAAAGAAACGGCGGCGGCGGAGGCGGCGCGGGCGGCGGAGGCGACGGAGGCGGGGCGGACGGCGGCGGCGGCGGCAAACGAAAAGGCGGCAGCGGCAGAGACGAAGGCGGCGCGGAGGGAGGCGGAGGCGGCGACGGAGGCGGCGCGGGCGGAGGCGGCGACGGAGGCGGCGCGGGCGGAGGTGGAGGCGGCGAAAGAAACGGCGGCGGCGGCAGAGGCGGCGCGAGTGGAGGCGGAGGCGGCGACGGAGGCGGCGCGAGTGGAGGCGGAGGCGGCGACGGAGGCGGCGCGGGCGGAGGTGGAGGCGGCGAAGGAAAAGGCGGCGGCGGCAGAGTCGGCGCGAGTGGAGGCGGAGGCGGCGACGGAGGCGGCGCGAGTGGAGGCGGAGGCGGCGACGGAGGCGGCGCAGACGGAGGCGGAGGCAGCAACAGAAAAGGCGGCGGCGGCAGAGGCGGCGCGAGTGGAGGCGGAGGCGGCGACGGAGGCGGCGCGAGTGGAGGCGGAGGCGGCGACAGAGGCGGCGCGAGTGGAGGCGGAGGCGGCAAAAGAAAAGGCGGCAGCGGCAGAGGCGGCTCGAGTGGAGGCGGAGGCGGCGACGGAGGCGGCGCGGGCGGAGGCGGAGGCGGCGAAAGAAAAGGCGGCGGCGGCAGAGGCGGCGCGAGTGGAGGCGGAGGCGGCGACGGAGGCGGCGCGAGTGGAGGCGGAGGCGGCGACGGAGGCGGCGCGAGTTGAGGCGGAGGCGGCAAAAGAAACGGCGGCGACGGAGGCGGCGCGGGCGGCGGAGGCGGCGACGGAGGCGCGGGCGCGGGCGGAGGCGGCAAAAGAAAAGGCGGCAGCGGCAGAGGCGGCGCGAGTGGAGGCGGAGGCGGCGGCGGAGGCGGCGCGGGCGGAGGCGGAGGCAGCAAAAGCAACGGCGGCGACCGAGGCGGCGGAGGCGCGGGCGGCGACGGAGGCGGCGCGGGCGGCGGCGGCGGCGGCAAACGAAAAGGCGGCGGCGGAGGCGGAGGCGGCGGCGCGGGCGTTGGAGCTGCAGGCGCAGGTGGAGGCGGTACTAGCGGCGACCACGGAGGAGCTGTCGGTGGAGAGGAAGGTGCGCGCTTGTTCAGAGGCGGTCCTGGCGGAGGCGCACGCCGACGCGCAAGAGGAGGAGATCAAGGCGGTGCAGCTGCAGGCCAAGAACATGCTGTTCGCTAGCATCAACCAGGAGCTGCGTGGCAAGGTGCGGACCTGGCCCGTGCCCGGGTCTCGCCCCACACCAGTAGAGCGAGTGCGCGCCCGTACTTGACGCACGCATCCCGTCCCATCGCAGGTGGAATCGCTTGAGGCGATGGTCGAGTCACTGAACAAGATGGTGGCCTCCCCTTCCAAGGCCGGCCGCAAGTGGCGTTGATGCGATTCTGGACGAGATGTGGAAAGCATTATCGGCCCTCAGAGATGAACCCGCAGGCGGAGAGATGTCGCCGAGGGTCGGGAGTCGTGGGTCCGCAGAGACGTCCGGAAGCCGTGAGTCGAGCAGGGAGACGTCCGGGAGCCAGTGAGCAGAGGCTGGGTCCTCCCTGGTTGTTGTAAAGTTTGCTGCGCGAGAGCTCCGACCTGGCCAGGTCGTCAAACTGACCCTAGGAGTAGCACATGACAGGGACTCGCACAGTAGGTGCTAGCTGCTAGACTGATGACTCCCCTCGACCCGAACCTGTCAAGTCGTTATACTCTAACCTGCTCAAGTGGACTGTGACGACTGACGTGTGAGCCACCGCTGCGCCCAGGGCACTAAAATTCTTTTTGGATTTTCCTCTTTTCACATTGGACATTGGTCATTGCTCGCGCGCCCCGTCACGCACCGAGCGACGGCCCCCCACTCTGGCGCCTTGGTCCATCTACTTCATGTGACTTGATTAAGTACCAAGTCAGCCTAGCCAAGTCAGCCTAGCCAAGTCAGCCGGCGATCGGGATCGCCGTCGGCGTCGCGCCGACAAGGGCGGTCATCTTCGAGACAGACCATTTGGGACCGGGTCCTATGACCACCGAATACCCCCCAAGCCTTGGCGAGCCGACGACCTTCCCGAACCACGCCTTCTCCAAGCCGACCGAGTCCGTAAAATCGGCGCCCGACACGTTTGCGTGGTCGAATCTCGCGTCGGTGACGGTGGCGGCACGAAAGGTCGTGTTCTGCAGCTCGGCGTACTTCAGGTCCGCGAGGCCGAGGTAGGCGCTGCCAAAGTCCACACCTACGCCTCGGCGGATCGTGCGTGACCTCTGCCGGTCTCGGCCCATCTGACGGCGCGGCGAGACGGCAACGCCTTGCGCACTGACGCCGATGAGGCGTACCCCCGAGAGGAAGGCCCCGCGGAAGGAGCTGTTGTGGATGGCGGCGCCAGAGAGGTCGCACGGGCCGGCCAGGTTTGCCTGCTCACAGCGGGCGAACGGTGAGCGCCCTCCTCCTCCTCCCGCTCGCTGCGCCGTCGTCGTCTCGACCCCGACAAAGGACGTGTGAGTGATGGTCGAGTTTTGCATCCTCGCGTCGACCAGCTTGGTGCCGCTCATGTCGGTGCCCACGAACGACGACCCCATCAGCCGCATGTCCTCCATCGCCTGTCCACGCCTGCACGCGTGAAGAGCCGCCGTTCACAGCAGCCGCTCGGCCGCGCGCAGCCTCAGCGCGCCGTCTCGCGCAGGTTCGTCCCAACCCAAGACGAGTGCGTGAGGAAGGAGTCTGTGATCTGCGCGCCGCGGAGGTCCGCCTTGTCAAAGATGGCGCCGACGCCCTTCACGACGAACTTGAGCGTCACGCCTTTCATCCTCGCGCCTCCAAAGTCGGCTCGCGTGAGGTCGGAGCCGGTGAAGTCCGCCTACTCGCAGCAGCAAGCGAGCAGCCTTCTTCCGAAGGGAGGGGCGCGGGAGGTCGGAGTGGAGTGAGTGAGAGGTACGCGCCTTCTCGAGGCTGGCGCCGACGAGCGAGGCGCCGCTAAGGTTGGCCGAGATGAAGTTGGCCTCCCCCAGGAGGGCGCCGTCGAGTTTGGCGCCGCTTAGGTCGACACCGGTGAAGGTGGAGAGGCGCAGGTCGAGCCCGCGCAGGTCTGCTCGCCGCAGGTGCAGCTCCGGCGAGCCCACGCAACGCGAGAAGTCGGATCCGGCGCCCTGCACGTACTGCAGGCAGATGAGCGGCGGAGGGGAAGGCGGCGGGGAAGGCGGCGGAGACGGCGGCAGCACGGGCGGCAGGGGTGGCGGCGGAGGCTGCTGGGGGGACGGCGAGCGCGGAGGCGACGGACTCGGTGCCACGGGCGGGCGGAGAGGAGGCGGCTGGGGTGGGGGACTCAGCGGCATAGGCTGGGCTGGCGGCACCGGGGGCGGCGGCGTCGGCGGCTCGAACGGGACTGTGAAGGAGACGGCTCTGAACTGGCCTGGGCGAGACCAGCCACGGCTCTGCGTGAGCGCGTCGTTTGGCTGCGGGAAGGTGATGACCTGCCCGAGGCCGGTCCACGTGGCTCCGTTCCAGCCATCGCCGTAGGAGTCGCGCATGAGGAGCTCGCACCCCGCGCCGGGGGAGGCAATGGCGGTGAAGCTGCGCGCCTCGCTCGAGCCTCCCGACTCCATCTTTGCGACCTCCTTGCCGCTGCAGAGGAGGATCCAGCTCCGCTCGCCCCCGTCCGGCGCGTGACTCACCCGTATCTCGTACGCGGCAGATGGCCCCTTCGGTAAGGGCGGAGGCGGCGGCGAGGGCGGCGCATACGGGTTCGAGGGGATCGACGGCGGCGGTGAGGGGAGCGGAGAGGGTGACGGAGAGGGGGGCGGCAGCGGCGAGGGGGGCAGTGAGGGGGGCGGCGAGGACGGCGGGGACGGCGGGGCGGAAGGCGGTGGCGGCGGAGTCGGCGGCGGCGACGGCGGTGGGGAAGGCGGGGTCGGAGGCAGCGGCGGCGGAGTCGGCGGCGGCGACGGCGGCGGCAGCGGCGGCAGCGACGGCCCCGGAGACGGCGGAGCCGGGGGCGGGAGAGGTACTGGAGGGCCGGGCATGTAGGCGACGGCTAGGATCGGGTAGCGGCCTACACTCGGACAGTGTCGAGCTCAGGGTCTCGCCGCCACTCCTCTCGGCTCCATCTCGGCGAATCTCGCCGGAGGCGACCCCCGCGGCGCTGGCGCTCGGGATGAGGGTTGGCTGGAGGGGTCTGCAGGCCACGGACGAGCTGGCCGGGTCGCAGTAGTTGGGGCGGATGCGGCAGGCGGCGTGGCCCGACGGGAGCACGTGCGAGATCGCCTCCCTGTGCAGCTCGCCTGCGCGGGGGACAGACGGGCGGAGAGCGTGACGAGAGGAGAGCACGAGGAAGGGACCTGTGCATCGCACGCCGGGCCGCACACAGAGCTGCCGCATCTAGTGCAGCTCGCAATGCTTGTACTTCCCAAAGACGAACTGGATCGCGACGCAGTCCGGCGCGAGGTCGCACCGTGCCTGGGAGAGCGAGGGCGCGGAGGCGGGTGTCTGCTCACGAGTATGTGAGAGCGACCCGCGATCCTAGAAGGGCAGGAGCCCCACGGACCTGGCACGTGAACTCGCCGACGTTCCACAACTCCTCGAAGGAGCCGGTGTTCCCGCCGGCCGTGCGACAGACGCCCCGCTTGCCTCCGGCGAGCGGCCAAAGAGGAGGTTGGGGTGGAGGACGTTCGGGCGCGAGGCCGCTCGTTGAGCTCGAGCTCGGGGCGGCGGCGGCGGGCGCGTTGGCGAACGGGTTGAAGCGGCTCGCCCAGGTCCGGAACGCTGAGGACATCGCACCACACACAGGGAATCCCAGTTGGTCTTCGTTCGTTTTACTCCATTACAGCGTCTGGACAGTTCTTTTTCCTCTCCGTCTTTTCTACTTCGCACTATCCTCTACCCTACCGTACCAAAGTCTGTGCAGGTGTGAACAGCAGCAGCTCCTGACCACAGCGCCGCAGGCGCCTGTTGATAGGTCCAGGTGATAGCCCTGTGGATAGGCAATGCATACGCCTAGTTTGGCCTCAGCATCGCCCGACCGCGTCCCGGTGCTCTGCCATCGGATCTGCGACGCCGCCGCACCGCGCCGCGGCCGGGGGCCCGCCGGAGGACGAGGATGGCCGTGACAGACCGGGACGAGCTCTGTGTGTGGGAGGTGAAGTGTTGTGTTTTTGTAGAGACTAGAGTCTTACAACAAAACTCCCTCGCACAACACTGGGCACGGGACTGGCGCGCACTGGCACTAACACAGGTACACCAGAGACTAGAGAGTGAACTAACCATCTACCTCTGCACAATATCTCTCAATCTAGCTAAGCCAGGGGAGGCGATGTGCCGGGGCCGCACAGCAGCTTGATGGTGCTTCCCGGACGGGCGGGCCAGAGGAGGAAGGAAAATGGAGGACAACGCACAAACAAACGCGACCGACACCCGCTCTGTGTCGACTTTTACATGTAACTTCAAAGCAAATGCAGTCGCACGCGCCGCGCCGCGGCGCGTGCGATTGTCAGGCGCGGATCCGTCAGTTAGTCGTGTCCACGCCGGGAAGGTGTCCTTCACAACCTGCCCAGATAAAAGAAAGAGAGAAAACGGACAACCTAAAGCCAGATTTAGCCACGACTGCCGTGCCGGAGCTTTTTTTCGCCTCGGCTTCATGCTCGCGCCCCCAGCTCTTCACAACGAACCCACCACCACAGAAACTCTATAACAAAATCGCGCTCTACATCGCTCTACAACGCAGGCGCTTCGTCCCGCGGCGGATGTAGAGCTCTACAGCACTCCAGAGCGCTCTACATCTCTACAACTCTACAGCGCTCTACACTCTACATACATCCTCTACACCCCCCCTCACAGGACGTCCGCCGCGCCGCCGCGGTGCTCACGTGCGGACCGCCGTGAAGTGAGTTCTTTGACTAATGTCACACAACATGTTGGGAGACTGATGGGTCAAAAGCATAGATCGTCAATCGAAGCGTCGCGCCTTTGCCCAGCTCTTCACAACGAACCTGGACGTTGTGAAGAGCCGCGCCGACTCGTCGTTCCTGGTTTTCGCCTCGCTTCATGCTCGCGCACAGCCGACGCTCGTTCGCATCCCTCGCCTCGCTCCTGGCCGCGCTTCCGCCGCAGCGATCGCGTGCGACGGGCTTGGAGGAGGTCCGCAAGGCGGCGTCGCTGCTGCCAGGCTACGGCCCGCCGGACATCGCCTTCCCGCCGCCGTTCAGAGGGCGCTGGAGGGTCACGCGGCAGGTCGTGGACGTGCAGACGCCGCTCGGGGAGACCGCGGCGCCGCGGGAGGCGCTGAGGCAGGCTCGCGACAGCCTTGTCGCGCCGCCAGTGACGTTTGAACAGCGGTTCGTGCAGGACTCGGAGAGGGCGGTGATCGCCGACCGCTCCTTCAACGCGGAGCGGCGCACCGCGGCCATCTCTGGGACCGCGCTTGCCGACCTCGAGGCGCGGTGGGAGCCGTCGAACCCGAATGTGCTCACGCTGGCTCGCGTGAGCACATCGAGCCTCGTAGAGACAAAGGTGACGAAGCGCAGCTTTGAGGCGCCGCTCGCACACCGAGGCCAAACGCCGAGCTCATCGCAACCGCAAAGCTGTGAGCAGGCCCCCTTCGACGGCGCCTTTGGCACGAGCGAGTACGCGCGTATCGCGGACGCGGGCTCGTCGGGCGTGCTCTCTTCGGTGCCGCCAACCCGCACGTCAGTCCTCTCTCCATCTCGGACAGTCTCGGGCCTCTGGCAACCTCGCGTCGTAGGTGCCGACGATCCTCGCTGCGCGCGTGCAGGCACGTGGGCAGATCATCCTGAGATGGTCCGAGATGGCCGGAGATCGCCCGAGATGGCACGAGTGCGGTGTCAGGCGAAGTACAAGTGGGAGCCGGCGGGCGAGCCAGGCGCGGTGGCGCGGATCGAGGGGCTCGAGATCACGTCGACCTTCGACCCGACGCAGACGGGCTTCGCGGACCTGAGCGGCGCGACCCCCGTGCTCGTGACCAAGGCGCGGCTGCGCTTCGAGAGAGAGTGACACGCGCAGTAACGTACTCTAGTCAACACGGCGGCCACGCTGCACGCACTGTCTAGTGTGTCTCCGTGTTATGTACGGCGTTCAGAATCAGATGGCTTCGCATGTGATTTTCAGCGGCTCGCATCACCACACGCTACGTAGAGTATAAGTATTGACTGGGCCGCGCGACCCCCGCGTCTCGGCGCGTCGTCTGGGCGTGAGGCTGAGGCGTGAGGGTGCGTGTGCTGCGACCTGCGTGTGCGTCCCACGCATGACGCTCGAGATCTGTGGACTGTGCCGAGACTGCCCCCCCCGGGGGCGGCCGGCGCCCTACCCCTACCTAGCCGTCTGTAGCTCGTATTAGCTGCCGCCTTTCCCCCCCCTGTGATCTTACGCTTTTTTTAGAAGTAGAGCGCTCGACTGACTCTGCGCTCTGAGTGTAGCGTAGACAAGAGATCTCTCGCTCTCCCCTCTCTGGCTAGTGCCATTTCACTCTGACACGCTAATCTTGAAAACGTCTCCAACGGAGCTCCGTGTTGCTTCCAGCGCCCTCCCCCGCGCTCCCTGCGGCCATGGCCGATGCTCCTAGGAAGAGAGGTCATCTGGCTACCGCGAGAGCGACCCAACTCGTCGACATCGTCCGATGATGGTGCCGCAAAGTCAGCCTTCGGAGGCTATCGTGGGGTCGAGCCGGCAGTAGCCGTGACATGTGGTTCCACCACCCCTCGCAGGCTTTGCCTCTGACCGCCACCGTTCCCAGGCTGCCTAATGGGATGGAAAGGAAGGCTCGGCGAGCGTTGCTCGACCTCGTCGTGGCAACCTGTACGGCAGCGCTGGTAGGCGCGATGAGCGTCGTGCCACCTGACCCGAGACGGGTCGCAGGCGTCGTACCGAGCGCGTCGAGACCGTGTCCTGATGTGATCTGCACGGGTGAGTCACGTCGGCGTCAAAGGAGCGACGTGCGACCTGTCAGAGCTTGATCTCCGATCTCAGCGGCGTCGAGTCGTCTCCGGCGCGCGACCAAGGTACATCCCCAGGACACGCAGAGGCAGCTGCGACCCCGCCGAGTGGACGGTTGCACACCGCGCCACCTGCTGTGTGCAACCGTCTATACTCGGCGAGGTCGCAGCTGCCTCTGGAAGGCACCGACATCTACCTTTTTGCGCAAATGGTCAAATCAAGGTTTTGTAACGCGAGCTGTGCCACAGTAAAATGGCACTATAGCCTCTCTGCGTCTCTGGCCTCTTTTCTCTGGACTCTCAAACTCCGGCTGGGTCGGTCTGGCGCGGTGGCGAGCTCCGGCACTGTGCAGGGCACTTGCGACGTGCGGACACTTCCTCCAGGAAGTCGGAAATGACACCTTGCTCTCTCCTCTCTGCACTCTTTCCCAGGGACAAAATTGTACAAAAATGATTAAAATGATCCCACGCACAGCGCACCGCACCCTTATTGCCCTGTACCCTAAACGTGCTACATCTCGGTGACGACGCCTGCGCCCCTCCCCCCCTCCCCCTCTTGCGTCGGCCGGGCACGTGCCAAGGTCTCAAATGAAGAAGGCCTTGTCGCTCTGCGAGACGGGGTACGGCGCTGTCCTGGTGGGGACACTGGGCACCGCTTCCCGCCTCGCCGCCGCTTCCCGCCTCGCCGCCGCTTCCCGCCTCGCCGCCGCTTCCCGCCTCGCCGCCGCCACCGCCATGAACGGTCGGGCTTTCGGCGGATCGGCCTTCGCGCCGGCGTCGCGCCCAAGCATCTTGTTGCTCTCCGAGACGGGGTACGGTGATAGCGGCGCTGTCCTGGTGGGGACGCCGTGCTCGCCGTGGTGTGGTCGGGCTTTCGGCAGATCGACCTTCGTGCTGGCTTCGCGGGGCGGGCTGGGAGTCCGGAAGCCGCCCTCGTCCCTCATCCGGACGTGCGAGAGCCCCTTCGGCTGCCCGGAGCGCACGCGGTAAATGAGGCAGGAGCAGGCGAGGCCGAAGCTGAGGCACAGAACCAGAAAGCCCCCGACGAATGCGGCCACAACCAGCACGGGCTGGTCGACTTGGAACTGCCACGACCCCACCCGAAAGCGTTGGCCGTCGTCCTCGATTCCGCCCACACCGCTGGCCCGGAGCCGCTGCCGCAGCGCGTCGTCGGCGACCTCTGCTCCCTGTAACACGTTGCGCCATGCTGCGGTGAGAGGCACTTCTGCGGTCTGACCCAAAGGAGACGAAGGCGGTGGTGGCGTCGCCAAGGGAGATGGAAACGGAGGCGGTGGCGGGAGCGGCGGAGGAGGAGGCGGGAGCGGCAGAGGCAGCGGCGGGAGCGGCGGAGGAGTCGGCGGGAGCGGCAGAGGCAGCGGCGGGAGCGGCGGAGGAGTCGGCGGGAGCGGCAGAGGCGGCGGCGGGAGCGGCGGAGGCGGCGGTGGGAGCGGCGGAGGCGGCGGCGGGAGTGGCGGAGGCGGCGGTGTGGGCGCCGACGGAGGCGGAGGCGAAGACGGAAGGGGCGACGCGGGTGGCATGGGCGGCGCGGGTGGCACGGGTGGTGGCGGCATGGGCGGCGGCGGGCGTGAGCCGAGCCAGGAAGGAGGGTGTGTCGCTCTGTACGCCATCGGCGCTGGCGGGGGCGACGGCGAGATCCAGTAGGCCACGAGATGACGTCGCGTCTCTGTGATGACGGGTGGTTGCGCGGCGAACACGGTCTCGGTTGGGTTGGGCGGCAGGAGAGGTGGCATATATCGATCACACGGAAGGTGAGCGCGTCGGCGGCTTGGTCGGGCGGGCTCGTAAAGATTGATGACAAGTTTGATTACACGCCGTTCACGAAGTCGACATATTTGGCAAATTGGCAGCGAAGATGTGTGCAAGTCAGTGCGGTCGGCCAGCGGTGGAACCCGTCTCCCAGTGTGGCCAATACCTTCTCGCGCTGAAGGGCAACATTTTCGTCGCCATACCTTGAGGGAGGTTCGAGGAGGGAGGGTCCTGGGTCCAGAGGATGTTCAGAGTGTGGAGCACTTGTAGCAGCTGTAGAGATGTAGTCGTAGAGCGCTGTGGAGCGCTACAATGCTCTGACTGACGTGAGCTATGTGAGCTCACTCAATTCCTCTTTACTATCTCTTAAGGTTCTTCGGGCCAGTTGGGGGGGGCAAACCCTGCCCGGCCCCTAGGACCCCAGGTAAGGCCCAGGTGTGGCCTAGGGCATCAGAAGGGACCAAGAGGAGTCCAGTCTGAGCCATAGAGCCCATGCCTTCGCCCCCGAAGGTCGCGTTCAAATGCCCGGAACGGACGTCACAGTGGTGTCCGGCCGGCGCGATCACCGAGCTGTGACGCTCAGGGAAGGCAAGCCCGATGAGGTGCTGGTTTCTTTGGCCAGGGCTGGCCTTCCCCCCAGGCTGGATCAGCTGAGCAAGGTTTGGGGAGAATCCTATATTGGGATCTTCAGATATTTTGACGGATGACCGAAATCACCCCGTTTTTGCCCATTTTCCTGGGGTCCTAGGGGCCGGGCAGGGTTTGCCCCCCTAAAGGGGCCCGAAGAACCTTAACCAGTACACCCTCCCTCAACGAGTCCGCGACCGCGCTCCTCTCCTACGCCGCCGGCTGCGGCGTCTCTCAATGAGAAAAGAAAGTCGCGGCCGCCCACAAGCTATAGGGCTGTGGCTGGGGGGAGGACAGACACGTCCCCACCTTTTGCTGAGTAAGAAAGAAAGTAAACGGACGTGCTGCATCCCAGGCTAGGGCTGGGACGAGGACAGACGTCCCCACCTTTGCAGGATTTTGCAAGGGTGAGGGGGAAGGGCGCATCGCGCACGCGGGAGAGGGGGCAGCTGACTACACGCCACACGCGACAAGGGGTCCCATCTTTTCTAGCAAAGAAAGATAACGGTCACGCCAAACGAGGGATGGGAGAGGGCCCCCATCTTGCAGAGCAAGGAAGATAGAGTGTATGTAGATAGAGTGGGGAACGCAACGCGACACGGAGGGGGGCTGGGCAGGGTTCACCCACACGACAGGGTCCCAGGGAGCTCCCTCGCGTAGGACAGGTTGCACCCGGCGGCACGGGGGCAGGGCGCGGGCCTCCCCCTGTTGCGACGCGCACTGCGGGTGAACATTCCTTCGTACCAGGCTAGGATTGAGAGCAGCTCGCTCTCAATCCTAGAAGTCGAAGGATTGTGAGCAGCACTCCTCGCAATCGTAGCATCTCTCTGCGATTGTGAGCCCTTACGCTCGGAGCGGCCGCACTCTGCTCGCTACCCCCCCTGCACAACTAAGCTCATGGCCGACCCCCCCCCCCCAGCAGCAGCGCTCTGCTGCTGGGGGGGTCCGGACCCCCCCCCCACAGGAGCGCTCTGCCTGTGGGGGGTGCTGGCATCTCTGTACAGACAGCAGCTGTAAGTAGCATGCGTTCCAGTGGCGAGAATTTATAGTCGGCATCAAAATCAGTGGTCTCACCGGCGGGCCCTCCTACTGCCAACCGGGAGGTGCGGGGCACGCCAGCCTCTCTTCTACGCCTCTCGTGCCTCGCGGCTCCTCTGCTTCAAGGAGGGAAGATACGGCTCTCGCAGCCCATCGTACGCCGTGGCACAGCGGGGAGCACAGCGGGCTGTACAAGATATTGTTCCCTATCTTCGCATGCTCGTCGTTGGTGATATCCGCGCGAGGTCATACGCCACAGGCCAGCAATCACTCGGTGATGAGACTACTGATGGAGGCGCGACGCTCTTTGGGCTCGAAGGCGCGGCGAACACAACCGCCTCGAGCGTACGAGTACCGCTTAAACACGAACCGAGGGCGGAGAGGGGGGGGCGGCGGCGAGGAGGCGGGAGAGCTGGGTCCAGTGCGCTCTGCTGCTGGGGGGGTCGGGACCCCCCCCCCCAGCAGGAGCGCTCTGCTGCTGGGGGGGTCAGACCAGCAGCAGGGATGAGCTTAGTTGTGCAGGGGGGGTAGCGAGCAGAGTGCGGCCGCTCTCGCAATCCTACATCTTCTAGGACTATGAGCAGCTCCGCTCACAATGTGACTGGTGACGCCCACGACTACTACCAGCGCGCTCACAATCCGAGCAAAGTCTAGGAATGCGAGCAGTAGCGCTCGCAATCCTAGCAACATGCCTCCGCTTGCGAGCAGGAGCGCTCGCAATCCTACATCTTGTAGGACTATGAGCGGCTGCGCTCACAATCGTACCAAAGATCCAAGGACTGCTAGCAGCGCACAGAGGGCGCTCCCAATCGCTCCAGCCACGAGCGCTTGTGAGTGAGCGCGCCGGGTGGGTCTCCTCACAATCCAAACAGTGATGATCGCACCCATTGTGAGGGGCCCGCTCGCAATCCTCGAAGGGGTGTGGGCGGTGTCGCTCGTAATCGGCGAAAGTTCTAGGATTGCGAGCGCTCCTGCTCGCAAGCGGAGGCATGTTGCTAGGATTGTGAGCTAAGCTGCTCGCAACCCTAGAGTTTGCTCGGATTGTGAGCGCGCTGGTAGTAGTCGTGGGCGTCACCAGTCATCACATTGGATCATTGTGAGCGGAGCTGCTCATAGTCCTAGAAGATGTAGGATTGCGAGCGTAAGGGCTCACAATCGCAGAGAGATGCTACGATTGCGAGGAGTGCTGCTCACAATCCTTCGACTCCTAGGATTGAGAGCAGCGCTGCTCTCAATCTTAGCCTGGTACAAAAGAAGGCGCACCGCGTTTCTCCCGACTTGATGGGCAAGAACACGTACGACCTCAAGGACTACGTCAAGGCCAAGTTCCCCACGGTCGACTACGTGGACCTCGTCTTCCCCGGCCCGGCGCCCGGAGGGCCCGAAGAGCATCATCAAGACAGCCTGGGTGCTTCCCATCGCCGCCCAAACCGCCTCGACTGGCACCCTCGCCGACTTCCTCCGCACGCCTCGGCGCGACGGTCACCGAGGTGGATCTCGACGCGGAGGACGGCGACAGCGACGAGGAGGACAAGCAAGACGGCAACGCGCTCGTCGACGACGAGCGAGGCTGAGGAGGAGGAGAAGTGCGGACCGCCGTGAAGCGAGAGTTCTTTGACTAATGTCGCACATGTTGGGAGACTGATGGGTCAAAAGCAGATCGTCAATCGACGTCGCGCCTTTGGCACATTAAATTCTTGGGGCGCGCGGCCCAGTCTTCACAACGATCTGGTCTCCCGACTTCGAGCCGCGACTCGTCGTTTGCGGCGCCTGAAACCGCGGCTAGGAGCCATGCAGTCCCTCATGCAGAGCATGGAGCACGCATCCGCAGAGCAGCGGACAGGTGCACCAAGCCGCCTCTCTGTCACGCGCTGCCGTCGCTGCCACTGCCGTCACCGCCGCTGCACTGCAGTGCCCGCCATGCGCTCACCGTTGCGCACCCCGTCGCCGCAGAGATGCTCGAGCGGCTGGAGGAGATGCAGCTCAAAGACACGCTCCGCATGTTCAACGGCCTCGTCGAGCGCTGCTTCTCGGAGTGCGTCACCGGCTTCCGATCCAAGGCGCTGACGGCGCCCGAGGAGAAGTGCGTGACGACATGTGCAAACAAGTACCTGAAACACTCGGTGGGCCTCCCCTTCGCGCGTGCAGCCCACCGCTGCCCACGGAGCCCGCCAACCTGATACTCCCCTCCCGCACCCTCCCGCTTTGATGACCGCCTCCCTGCACGCACGCAGGGGCGAGTCGGCCAGCGGTTTGGCGAGCTGTCGGCGCAGCAGAATGAAGCGGCAGCGCAGCAAGGGTAGCCGCCCGCCTCTCTCTCTCTCTCCCTCTCCTTCTCTCGCTCTCTCCCACGCGGCACTTATCATATAAACGCGGCGGCCGACTGTTGTGGGTCCCGCCTGGGGCTAACGGTACGCACGGTGGTGGTGTGCACAAACGTGTTCGGTTCACCATTTCCACTTCGCGAACCTTTTTATTACCGCCGCTTGCTGCAGTAGACTGTCTCTCTCCCCCAGGAGCTGATGAGTCTGCCTCACCGCAGAGTCGCTCTCAGCGTCACAGAGAGCGTATACGTCCCGGGTACGGCGCGCGGCAGTGTTCGACCGGGGGGGCTCTACGCGCGCTCTATAAAAAAACCTCTCTTATACCAGTTAAAGACTTTTACGTCGCAGCTACCTGTGCACCTGTGACCTAACCCGTAACTGTGTACTCACTTCCGCTAGCGCGACACGTTTTGACTCTTCTCTTTTGTGTGTGAGCAGTGAGCCGGACACAGTCACGAGACAAACGACGACGAAACGGAGTTGGAGGAGACATCAGACAACACCCACAACACGCAGGGCAGCTTGAACAGAGGCGTCACCACGCCTCGTCCGTGCGCACCCCGTGCGAGCGCCCCTGTCCCTTCCACCGCGTGGGCAGGTCGGCCTCGTGCGAGCGGGCTTTCGGAAATCGCTTCAGCTTTGCGCCCACCCAATTCAAAACCTTGGCGAGTCGCATGCCAGGCAGGAAGCCGCCGACCGTCTTTGTGATTGCGAAGAAGCCGCCGAACTCGCCCGTCGTGCCCTGCCGCCGATCGACGATGTAGCCCCCCGTGTACCGCGTGACGAGCCCCTCCTCGTCGAAGGTCACGCTGACACACTGCGGCCCGACGTCCAGTGCTGCGCCGGAAGGAGGGAAACTCATCCCTGTCCCGGACTGCTGCGTGCCAGAATGCGTCCCCGAGAGCCGCAGGATGGCCCAGAATCGGTTGGGCTCGGTCGGATCCTGTGTGAAGTCGGAGAGCGACATCTTCATGTCAGGGAAACCATCCCAGACGGCGAAGAGGCCCACGGTCCCCAGGAAGTCTTGCTTGTTGAGCGGGCCCACGATCGGGCCGAACCAGACAAAGTCGTCGCTGAGCATCTCCGGCTTGGCAGGCTGGTGGAAGCCGTCGTTCAGAACGAACTCACGCGCCAGCCTCTTCAGCTCGGCGGTCTTTTCCAGCTCGGCGGGGCCGGCGGCCGAAAGCACCGTCCGGCAGCGCAGAGCGGCGGCGGTGGCAGAGCGTGGCACAGTGGGCGCTGTGCTCCGAAAGAGCGCCGATGTGATCGCTGGTGTGGTGACGATTAGCGCGATGAGGGGACCTGGGCCCATATCAGCTGCTGGAGCTACCGGGTATGCAGCGCCGTTTCTTAGCCTTTTCCAGACACCCACCGACGCCGTGGTTTCTTACGCCCCCCACAGCAAATCGGTTTTTGCCCTTAACTAGTGCCGTTTTCGTTCCAGCAATTTTCGCTTAAGGTTGCTCCCGGCCCAGTGGGGATTTCGGCCTACTCAGTGATCGTCTAAGGGAGGGGCCCTAAATGGCCTGCAATGCCATATCTTTTGGGAGAGATTTTTAGAAGCCAGCCTAGGTTGTAGAGCACCTTAAAAAGTACTATGTCTTGGAGTGAAAAGTTTTTCGAGGAGGTGGGGGTCCGTGGTGAGCCGATTGCCGATTCTTCAGATTCCCCCTCGAAAACCGCCCCTTTTAATTCCGCGTGCTTGCTCGGATTACTTTTCACTCGAAGAGCACTTGGAGCACTTGGAGTGCAGTCTTCGGTAACCTCACATCCAGGGCCGAGGAGCTAAGAAGCGCACCCAGCGGGCCGGATGGTCGGTATCGGGCTACGGGCTAGAGAGCCCTGACCCCTAGGGGGAGTGCGCGTTCGCAGGGCAAGGGGGGCCTTAAAGTAAACACGGGTCCCCGAGGGTTGGCTCTGCGCTCCGGGTTTCCCCTAGCAGCGGAACGCCCCCTCTACTCGGGGCTAGTAGACACCAGACACTAGCACGACATTCCTCACTGAAAAAAAGTTTTTTGGTGTTACGGTGCCTAGAAAAAATATCCGAGATCATATGGAGCTGACCACAGGGTTTGCGGCGATCACTGAGTCCTACCAGCGGGCACAGTGGGCCGCGGACACCCGTGGATGACCTTAACTTGGTCGGTTTGAGCACTATCGTTCAGCCAACGCCCACAGCAAATCGGTGAAAACCTGCTCTACAGCGAGAGCGAGTTTTGTGGCTTGACGGCTTCCGTCGGTCGTCCCGTGACTCATCGCGCCGCCGCGTTGCACATTGGACACATGCTCTCGCGCGTGGCGCTGGCGGGGACTATTGTGCGCCTCGGCGAGGCGCTTCCGGTGGTATTCTTTTCGAGCGCAGTGGACTTCATCTTGCCGGTCAACTGCCGGCGGTCGACAACTGCCGTTCGAGCAGCGTTGGGTACCGCCGGCAAGATGAACTCACCTGAAGCTGAGCCGCGGCATGCGGGGCGGCACGTAAAATGACAATAAGGAAGCGCTGGACCGATGCGCCAGTCAGCAGTCTGCCACCCACTTGGGAAGACAGGAAGACGCACACACCTCCATCCATCCACACCGCCCAGAACACCGCAGACTTGCTTGGGCAAAATGACAAGTGCGCGCGCCGCAGGCGAAGAGAAGATTTGAGCGGGGTTCCTGTTCACACTCGTGTGTGGGCCCTTTCCCGGGGCCGCGCCTGCGGGCCTGCGGCGCGCCGTGGTTTCTTAGATTTTCGCGGAAATCGAGAAGAAGTCGCTTGGCGTGGTTTCTTAATTTTGTGTTGTGTTGTTTCTTAATGCGACGTTTCTTAATGCCCGCAACAGACTGTACGCGGCGCGGATTTTCTTCCGACACCGATCATCCGGGAGGGTGCGAATCACAGCTCCCCCCGGCCCTGGATGTGATGTTGGCAACTGCTCTCCAAGTCCAAGTGCTCCAAGAGATCCAAGTGCGGATACGACTTTACAACCAGAGAGAAAAGGGAGAGGGAGGGAGGCGCGATTTCTAGGCCCTTGGGGGCCCTACCACTCAGCGGTCAGCGCAGTCGGAGAAGCCGGTGAATGAACGAATCTTCGGAGGATGGGGCAGTCATCTACACTGCCGCGCTCACTGGGTTCGAGATTGTGCGAGAGATTGTGGGAGAGAGCTTGAGTCGGAGTCGCACAACCAAGACACACGAGAAGTCTTTGCTTGTTGATGTCTGCTGCACTTGGTTGGGGTGAGACGACGGGGCTCGGGGGTAGATAGATAGATAGACGAGGATAGACGACCGTGCTGTTGAGAACGAGCAGGATGTTGGCGGCGTCGCCCGCCACTGACTGCAACAAACTCTCTCTCTGACTGCAGCCATGGATATCTGCAAACACAAAAACAAGGTTGCCTCCTTGTAAGCCGGAAAAAAAAACAACGAAGGCGCTCTCAAAAAAAAAGAACCTTTGTCTTGTGGCGCCGCTCTGCGTGCAGCCCAACCTCGTCGATGAGCTCGTCTCAATCTCTCCTCCATCGCGCGCTCGCGTCCGTGCGTGACACCATCGGTGACGCAGCTGCGGCGCTCGACGGCGCTCGCCTGGCCGACACTGTTCGCGAGGGCGTCGGCCAGCTCTCCACTTCTGGCCTGCACGACGCTGGCGGCGGCGTCGCTCGCGTGGCTGGCAGGATGCTGCGGAAGAGGACTCGCCCTGCCACAGACGCTGTCGACGAAGACGACGAGTTTGTCTTGTTTGGGCAGCGTTTGCCGTGGCTTATGAGCCATTATATGTGGCCCTTCATCTTTTCGGCGCTCTTCATGTCGGCGCTGCTGTCGGGCCTCACAATCGCGCGCGCGCGGGCGGCGCAGGGCCGGCGGCCCGTCTACTTCCACCCGCTCGCCGTCTGCGAGGCGATCACCTCGATAGCTGCGGGCATCCTGCTGTGGATGGGGTTCTGGGACCTGCTCGACGGGTACCTTGTGCCGGCAGAGTGGTGGGCAAAGCTCTTTATGATCGCCGCGGGTGCGCGCCCCCGCCGCCTTCACCAACCGGCCCCCGCCCTCTCCGCCGCCGCGGTGAGGGGAGGGGCCGGCGCACCCCACCCGCTGCCGCACCTCACCGCTGCCCCACCTCACTCGCTGCCCCGGTGTGCGGCCGAGGTGGGTTCGCACTCTTCTCGACCCGCACGCTGTACGACGAGAGCCACATCACGACGGAGGGGAAGGCGGTCCGCTACTCGTCCATCGGTCCGCTCCACGCCCCTCCCCAACCTCCCCCCTCCCCCCTCCCCCGCCCTCCCGCCTCTCTGGCGCGCCGGAGGGGCGGCGGAGGGGCGGCGGAGAGGCAGCGGCGGAGAGGCGGCGGAGAGGCGGCGGGAGAGCCGACCTCCCGCGCTCGCCGCGACCGCAGGCCTGAACCAGTTCCGGGAGCCAGAGTCCCCGCGCCATGCCGTCGACATCGAGCTGCAGGCGCCCCGCCGCTCTGCAGCCGCCACCACACGCCTCGGCGGCGCCTCCGCCTCTGCCACACTCTACCACAAACCGTCCGCCGACGCTCCCACCGCCGCCGCCGCCCGCCAGCCGTAGCCGCCGCAGTGCGCGCCGTCCGCCCCACTGCTCCCCTCGCCCCCTCGCCCTTCTCCGCAGGCGCCGCCCGAGCCTCCCGCGCCGCAGACCATCAACAGGCGAGTCGCCTCTGAGCGCAACGTGGCCGAGTCCGACGTGAGTGCCTCCGACGTAAACGAGGCAAACGGCGGCGAGGGGATGCGGGAGGAGAAGGCGGCGCGCTACTTCGACCGGCCCGCCTTCTCGCCTCACCGGTGCGCCCGCAAGGCTGCTAGCTGCCGCTCCCCTCCCGCGCCCCGTCGGCCTCGCCGTCGCTCTCTCTCCGCTGTCTTCCCCTCCTCCTCACTCGCCCCCTC